GGGGTCTGTCAGTGGGGCGGCCCACGGTGGATACGGACTAACCCACTGTCTTCTCTTGTAGTGGCTGATATCCCAGCAAGTATCCTTTTCCTGCCGCCCCGCTCTTGCAGCGGGGGCTCCGGTAACGACGCGCCTCCGCGGAGAGAGCCTGGTGCTGGGGAAGGGGGTTGGCTGGGGGGATTTTAATCTCCTTCTGTGTTTGGGGCCACTTTCCTGACACCTGCGTGCTGTTGAGGGTTGTTGGACGTCGGGCTGTTGGTGTTTTCCAGGTGCTGTTTAGTATTTACTTAACTCTGCTGCTGCCAGATCCCTCAGTTTGAAGATGTCAAGTTTGAGGCAGCCAGCCTCCTGTCTGAGCTGTACTGTCAGGAGGTGAGTGCGCTGAGAATGCTCCAGGAACTGTCCCTTGTCCCGGGGCTGCGTTTGATTTGGGTGTCTTTGGTCTCGGAGTAGGATATCGCTGGTCGTGGTAGGATTTATGGAACTTTTAGGAGTCAGCTGCAACGTGAATATGGAGTGGTAAAGCCTGAAAGACTTTGGTCTGTCTTATTGTGCCAGTCACTGCTGGAATGGCCGTGCAGGTCTTCCCCAGCAAAGGGAGTTTGCTTGGCCAGAGTATTTTTTTAGCTCTCATTTAGACAAAGACAAGCTAATTTGGGGGAGGGAGGGAAGTAGATGGCTTTCCTCAGGCTTTTGTTGTGTTCCTAGGCTACTTTTATTCTTCTTCTCTGGAAAAGCCTTAACTAGCCTTTATTTTCTCTAAGGCAGTGTTGGCCATTTCTCTCACGTGCTGGGAAAAAGTGCATGTTAGAGTAGTGGCCGTGAAGGAGTTAAACAGATGATCTTTGAGGTCCCTTCCAACCCTAACCATTCCATGATTCTATGAAATAGCTCATACTTCTGAACAGACTTTCAGAACACTTGGTTTTGTTGCCTTTCATGTTTTTCCTGAGCTGTGAGACTTTCCTGGGGGATCAGTACAGAACACAACTGGTGTGAAAGTCGTTGTGTCAGCGATGAGTTCCCGTAGCCCGTTCTTACGCAGGTTTCTGTTTCAGAATTCCGTGGACACAGCAAAACCTCTGTTGCGCAAAGCCATTCAGATTTCACAGCAGACTCCGTACTGGCACTGCAGATTGCTTTTTCAGCTTGCAGTAAGTGATTTCTGTTGATAACTTTACACTGTGATTGCAAAAAAAATGGCTAGAAAATACCTGTATTCTTCCTAGAAGGAGCTTGGATGCCTTTTTTTAAAACCACTCCTCCCCCCAGTCATTGCTGCTAATGGAAAGACAAAAGCAGAGGAATTCGTGCTGTAAAGTAAGGATATGTTGGTAGACTACAGGATGGATCCAGGGAAGAAGGCAGCAAGGATCATTCTGTGAGCTCCAGTAACACACAGCTTCAGAGGCAGAGCGAAATAAAATCCACCTCGTGGCCAGCAGTCAGGGCAAACGTTCTCATAAAACCTGCTGGAATTGGAGCTTCCCGACCCGAAGTGTTCCTGTGATTATTTGCAACCTAATCAGCACGCGGAGCAAAGCTGGGATGGGAAAAGCAGCTGGTGCAAAGGCCTCCAAGCAATGTTACTCTTCCTGTTCTGTAATGTGCTGTAAGTGTGGCTTCAGCTGCACAGGTCAGGCTGTCTTCACTTCCAGGAATAAACTGGTGCGTGCTGGAATTGGCGGTGTTGAACGTTTGTTACAGTCTTCAGCTGTGTAACTGCTCTTAAAGTGCTGATTTTCCTGGGAATCCCCTGCCTTAGGCCAGGGAGCATATCCAGAAAGCGAACTGATGGGTGGGAAGAGCAGATTGTTGCTGAAGAACTCCCCCAGTTTTTCCAGGTGGTGCCTGTTCTCTGCTCCTGAGGAGCCTCGAGGTGTTTAACGTGAGAGTGGAGGGAGTTAATTGCTCGTTACACGTACTCTGCGACAGAGGGCTGGTCAGGAAGCAATTTCAGCTTTGAAGACTGTCTTACTGGTCACCTGGACTTGTCCTTTCCCCCTTCCCAATGAGCTTAAACAAGCAGAACAGCTTGGAAAGGAATTGCCAGGCTCCTTTGTGTAGTTCAGGAGCAGTGAGTTGTGCAGAGCCCATTTCCTGCCGATTAAAGGACACACGTTCACTTTTCAGCGAGTTAATACCTGAGTGCTCCGAAGCAGCTTGAGCGTTTTTCTCAGTGCTTCCCTCTGAGGAGGATCCTTCCTTGAATCCTGACATCCTTTGCTGATTTCTCTTCTGTGTGGCATTTCTTTTCTGGCTTTTGCTTGCCCACAGAGGCCTGTGTGTCCCGGTGCCTGTTCTACAGCTGTGTGGCTTTCTACCTGGGCTTGGCAAAGGTGGAAAAACTGGCAGCAGGACGGTGTGAGAGGAGCTCTGGCAGCTGCCTCATCCTCTCCCCACCACCTGGGACATACTGTGCAGACTTTCTCTGTTTGCTGGAAAACACTCCATTGTTCCGTTTACTCCAGTGTAACAGTTCATGGTTATGTTGGAGCTGTTGGGATCTGATCTGCACGGGATTTTAATGAATTATAACAGCTTGCGTGGTATGAAACTGGGCTGAGGCATTTTCTTTGAAATGTTACAGACTGTTTTTTGGAGAATGCCAGGTGTTCCTGGAAAATGAGTCTAAAATCAGATGATGCATTTAACAAGTACTGGTTTAGCCCTTGTCACCTATGAAGCACAGGGGTAATTACATTTTTAAAAGCTGCTAACTGGGTTCACAAAGAGAACGCTGATCTCTTCTGGCCTTTGTTTCATTTCAGCAACTACACACACTTGAAAAAGACTTAGTTTCAGCATGTGACCTGCTCGGAGTTGGCGCGGAATACGCTCGGGTGGTCGGATCAGAGTATACCAGGTGAGTTCCCTGGACTTTTTTTCCTTCCCACAGAAAGTATTTTGGTTTGCTCTGCTTGTTATTTAGAGATTCTACTTTTATTTAGAGATGTGGCCTGTGATTGCTGCGTGGGTTTTACAGGCAGACCAATATTTCTGATTGTTCTCTTCAATCTGAGAGTTTCTCCAGCTTTTCCTTTTTTCTGTTGAAACCAATAATGTCCATTCAGAATCTGGAGAGTCTTTTTTCAAAATCAATATTGTTTATTGTCATTATCAGCAAGTTTTCCCAGTAGCCTGTTGTGGCCTTAGGAACTCTTGTAACTGGAACTGTCCAAAGCTTGGATACAACTTGAGAGGCTGGGATTTTGGTTCCTGGGGCTACGATTGGACTGGTCCATCCAGCTTTTAAATGTGCTTTCTGTGGCAGGTTCCTTAATACTCTCTTGTCCATCATCTTCGAGGAAGAGAACAGCAGATTCTTTTTTTTTTTTTCTCAGGGTTTATATATACAGTTGTGGTTTGGGTAACTGATTTTTTTTGAGCACAATGTCATTTTGTTTCATTTCAGAGCACTGTTTCTACTAAGCAAGGGGATGGTAAGTTGGATGTACTTTTTTTTCTTGTTTTACTAGTATAGTGCAAGTTACAGAGCAATAGAGTGCAACCTTCCCCTGAACATAAGTTGTTTTAAGGTATCTTGCATGCTTCTCTGTGCTTTATATGTTCTGGTTTGTTCATGTGAGCAAGTGCAGTGTAAAAATATAACTGGGATAAGCCTTAAATCTGCTTAACCTTAAACCTTGTGAATAGGTTTGGCTTTTTTCTTTATTAATGATGACAAATAATTTTCTGGAAGGAAACAGGATAACTGCAGATTGTCGCTGGAGCCTTTGTAATTAGGGATGAAAAACCTGGTTGTGTGAAAAGGCTGGTGCTCTTGCAATAAGGTGTCTTTGGGTCTTTTTGTTTTAAATACATAAATGTACCTGGGGCTCTGCTGTGGCTCTCTGAGTGTTCCAACAGTTTGAGACAGAAATAATGCATTTTTATTTGAAATTGTAGCTCCTTCTAATGGAACGAAAGCTGCAGGAGGTGCACCCTCTCCTTACTCTTTGCGGGCAGATAGTTGAGAACTGGCAAGGAAACCCCATCCAGAAAGAGTCGTTACGTGTGTTCTTCTTGGTCCTGCAGGTCACACATTACCTGGACGCGGGGCAGGTACGTGCCAGTTGTGCCTCTTCCAGGTCCCGTGTGAGAACTGGGGCAGGAGTCCTGCCTCAGAAGTGACGAGTTACTGTGCTGAGGTGATTTGGGGGGGGGTGCTTGCTGCGTGGAACTTAATTTCTATAAATTTTAATCTCAAACGAAATGAGGAATAAAGAAATAACATTCATTTCTTCATCCCTGAGGAGAGATTTACTGTGATACCCTCAGAACCCTGGCAGCCACTCTTGCTTGTGTGTGATGTTGGCGGAAATAACAGGCTTTAATGATTTTGGAAAACATTTTGAGTGTCTGTTGGTCTGTGAGCAAATATGAGGGTCTGATTGCCGTTCATCGCGGAACGGGCCTGAAGCAGTCCCTGTCCTGCCATGCCGGGGTTGTGGTTTACACACGGACTAATTTCCTGAACGTGGAGGTTATTTGTTGCCGGGTGAGTTTTCCCAGCTCGGTAAATGTTGGAGCATCTGGGCTGCAGCAGCTGTGCCTGACGTGAGTCGCCTTCCGCAGGTGAAAAGCGTGAAGCCGTGCCTGAAGCAGCTCCAGCAGTGCATCCAGACCATCTCCACGCTGCACGACGACGAGATCCTGCCCAGCAACCCTGCTGATCTCTTTCACTGGCTGCCCAAGGAGCACATGTGTGTGCTCGTCTACTTGGTGAGAAGCTCTTTTTTCCTTCATATATACTGCTAATTAAGGAGGAATTGGTTAAAAACCGCCTGGAGCCAGCAGTGGTGGATTCTGCCGACCGTATGCTGCTTTACGTTCCGCTGACAGTTTAATTCTGTCACAGCATCTGTGAGACTCTTGCTTTTGGTGATGTCAGCGTTGGAAGAGACTGTGCAAGAAGTCTGGAAACTGGAATGTAACTTTATGAGTATCCAAGCCAAACAGAATCAGATTAACTCGTACCAAGTAGAGCTACGTTGGCTTATTTTTACCAACAGAGTGACAATCTTGGCTTCAGATTCCTGAAACGAATCCCCTCGCTTCTTGAATATGATTATAACCCTAAATTACGTCAAAAGTTAGTTTAAGAAGCTGGTAGGTGAGGAGTTGGGTGAACTCCCAGACTTTTTCTTCTTTGCAAAGATAATTTTTCGTAAGCTTTCCTGTGTTTCCCGGCAGGTGACAGTGATGCATTCCATGCAAGCAGGGTACCTGGAGAAGGCTCAGAAGTACACAGACAAAGCACTCATGCAGCTAGAGAAGCTAAAAAGTAAGGATAAGGATTATAATTTAGCTGATACCACCAGATTCCATTACTTGCTGCTAATTTATATTAAATAAAACCAAACCCAAACCGCAGCAGCCTTATTTATTTCAGTGGTGCAGCCTGCTGTCAGTCTTTCTGCTGCATCTAAGAACTCTGCTCTGTTTTAAAAACAGGTAGTTACTTTGAATACAGAAATCAAGTTTTGAGGGGTTTTACTGTAACTCAGTAAATTGGGCTGTAAATACATGCATTTTCATGCTGCCTTTCTGATTGTCCGTGTGTTTGATTATCTAAGCTTTTGATTCTCTAAAACGAGCATGTGCTCCCACGGAGTTTTTCCTTAACTGGTGCTCAGACTCCCCCTCCTGCCAGTTCAGACATTGTGATTTTGGTGGGTTTTTTTTGGTTTTAGGGTGTTTTGGGTTTGGTTTTTTTTTTTAAGCATTTGCCATCCTTCCTGTGGTATATGGAAGAGGAGCTGGGCAGTGTGCTGACTCTTCTGACACCAAGTGGTCCCACCAAAGACATCCCTCTCCAGATTTCTGCAAAGGAGTCTTTATGTTGAAGCCTTGCTGAGCCACCTTGGATTGAGGAAGCTGGCTAGGGGTGGGGGAGGCTGTGAGGTTAGGATGTTAATATCCTCACAACTTTGCTCACTAGATTGCTTTTCCCCTTGCAGTGTTGGACTGCAGTCCTATCTTGTCATCTTTCCAAGTTATTTTGTTGGAACACATTATCATGTGTCGGCTCGTCACGGGACACAAAGCCACAGCATTGCAGGAGGTAAGAACGGGGTTTCACCATTTCCCTCCTTGTTGGACGTGTGCGGTGATAGCTGTTAAAACGTGGGAACTCCAGTTTTGAGGAAGATACTTGGGCTCAGCTGGGGATTCCAGCGGTGCTGAACTGCTGACAGATATAGTCAGGACTCCCGGTGTTCAGGGTACCACCACTCTCAAGCTGTGGAATTAGCCTCCTCTTCAGTGTTTTATTTAAGAACGCTTTGGAGTTGCTCGTGGGGTCAACAATAACTGACTGGCTACAGCTGACACCTTCCTCATTGCACGCTGCAGTCTGACTCTGGGCTCTTTTCCCTTTCCCTCAGATTCATGACAGAGTGGCTCTTCACTCTTCCTCCTAGCATTCCTGGCTTGTCCAAGCATTTCTCAGTTTTTAAGATTCCCTGTCTTTGTCCCTTCTTCCTCTTACCTGGTTTGGGGGAAAGGAGGAGAGGGACAGTGTTATTTAATGCAAGAAAGAGCTGTGCTTTTTTTTTCTTTTCTATTCTCACAGTCGTTTTTAGATCCATCCCTTATTTATAGGCCATGCTGCTTTATCATCTCAGCTCTGCTCTCAGCCTTCTCGTGCACGTGCTTGGGGAGTGGGGGGCAGTTTTGCCTGCAAAAAGAATAATCATTGGTTCTGACTCATAAAACTCATCGTAAGTCCCGTGGAAGATTTTGATTCCAGGTTGTTTTTTTTTGTTGCCTGCCAACTCAAATTGTGAGTGTGGCAGAAGAGATCTGTGACTCGGCTCGCAGGTGGTGCCACCATATGGTGGAGCTGCTGCAAAGCAAATAATTCCAAACCAGTTTGAGCGTGGGAGCGTGTGTGGAGCAGCGTGTGTACCTTGGCTGGGGGGGGGTTCCAGCCTCCACTTTTACCTGGGAGCGTGACTTAGGAGTCGTGAACCAATCACTGAAACGTCCTGAATGACATGTGTGATGCAAGTAGATAGGAAATGGAGAAAAAAGTATCTTAAAATATTCTTTTTTTCCTAACAGATTTCACAAGTCTGTCAGCTCTGCCAGCAGTCTCCCAGACTGTTTTCTAATCACGCTGCCCAGCTGCACACTCTGTTAGTAAGTGTCTACCATTAGCAGTAAACTTTGGGCTCTTTGCAAGACCGTACCCGGGGCTCGTACTCGTCACCAGTAACTCATGAGAACGTAGTGAGGCAGACAGCAAGACTTCCTGCTGAAAATGAATAGTGGGGTGCCAGTCCTGCTGTGGGCACCCACACCCAGTGCTATTTCAGCCTGTCAAAGGTTTAAAGCAAAAGAAGTGACATGCAGCGTGATAGTTGTAGTGTGCAGGGTAAATACACGAGATTTATACTGTGTGTGTTTGAGACAATATTGTGGGAACTGTGTAAGGGGAAGGATTTATGTAACGTTACTATTTGAGTATTATAAGAAATTAAGAGTTTTTTTTAGATAAATGGGATGTTTTTTACAGAAACATAACTATTTTGAAAGACTTTGTGTAGAAATTGCTCATTTTCTCTCAAGCCAGGCAAAACTAAGTCTTGTTGGTTACCTTTTTTCCTGCCAACATCCTGAGATTCCGTGGTTTTGTGCGTGCCTTTCGCTGTAATTGTGTTACACATGACCTTAGAAATGTCGTGTCTTCTACAGGGGCTCTACTGCATTTCTGTTAATTGCATGGACAATGCAGAAGCACAATTTACTACAGCACTGAGGGTAAGGTTTTTCTTCCCAAACTATTTACTATGGATGTTCAGTGTGGAAACGGGCTCGTTTGCAATTGTCATGTGGGTTGTTGGAAGGGGAATCTGGAGATTGTTTATATAAGTTGCTCTAGTTCATTTTTTTTGGTCCTGAACACAACCCTGGAGAGGAGGATTTATTAATAGGGAAATATCAGACTCCGAATCTGTGGGTTTTATGGGGTGAGCAGATTCTGGGTTAGATGGTGAAGGATTTGACTGTGCTGCTGTTTATTTTAGCTCACTACACATCAAGAACTCTGGGCGTTTATTGTGACAAACTTGGCCAGCGTGTACATCAGGGAAGGCAACCGGCATCAGGAGGTGAGTCTGCTAAAAGTCAGAGCGTTCTTGGAGAGAAAACTGCTGCTGTGCTTGAATTGGTCTTTTTTTCCTGAGCGTTTTTGCAAAGCAGGGCCTTGTCTGGCAGCCAGGCAACCCCTTGATTAGGGTGGTGTCAATTGGCAGTAAAGAACCGGTGGTATCAACTGGAGAGGATTCTGGATTTTACATGGAATTCTCTCCAGCACTGGGAGGGGAAGCTTGGCGTGGAGTGTGTGGTTAACTCTGTCGTTTTGACTCGTTCAACCTGTTTGCTTCAGTTTCCAGCTGTGTAGGGGGTTTACTAGATCACCTTAAACCTAGAAAGAGGGAACTAAACATCCAGAAGCAGCTCCGTGCACGTGTGTGTGTTCCTTGTGCTTCAGCCATGTTAACACAGAAACTGTGTGTGTTCTTCCAGCGGCGTGTCTGATCCCTCTGTAGTAACTTTCTGAGAGGTGCTTGCAGGTTTCTTGTGAAGAGGCTGGAAAGGAACCTTTTCTCCAAGCACACAGTACTTTGTTAAAAAGCTTAGAGAGAAAAAATAGTAATTAAAAAAGTTGACCCTTTGTTTTTGCTTAGTTGATTTCTGGTTTTAATGAAACAGTAAATCTGATGCAGTGTTCATTGGGGCCTCGAACAGCTCGGTTGGACACAACAGCTGAAAGTTTTCTGAGGAAGTATTGACATTGTAGAGAAAGTTCTATAAAGTCTGAGAAAGCACATTTTGTGTAAAACTTGATTTTAAGAATCAAAACGAACACGAAAACTCCTGATGTTGGAATGTTCGTGCTGTAATCTGACCCGTACAAGTAAATTTGAGTGTGTTTGTGGTGACTCGCACCGTTCTGGTTTGAGGTGCACTTCCTGTAAAGCCCCTTGCTGTCAGTGCTGTAAGCCTGTATATGTGAGAAATGCTGATTATATTTCTTTTCTCTTCCCCCTTTGCAGCTTTACAGCTTACTGGAAAGGATAAATCCAGACCACAATTTTCCTGTGAGGTGAGAATTCCGGAAACTACCTACCTGCTGATGTTGCGTTGGTGGTGGTAATGCTGGATTTGTAGCAGGCTTTTTTTAAAAGAAAACAAAATGATCAGCTTCTTCCCAAGGCAGAAGTTCTGACCACACATTTAATGTTATGTTTGGAGATCTGATGATCAGGCAGATTCCCAGAAAAATCTGTCTGTTCTGCGCTCAGTCACTGCGCAGTGCCTGGATTTCAATGCCTTGCTTTGTCCGTAGCTCTCACTGTCTCCGAGCAGCGGCGTTCTACATCCGAGGTCTCTTCTCCTTCTTTCAAGGAAGATACAACGAGGCAAAGTGAGTACAAATCGGTGCACTGGGAAGGTTGGGAGAAAAGGAGAAACTCCATTGAGCTGTTCAGGATCAAAATGAAAACCCCGAGGCCTTGCTTTCAAACCCGCTGGCTCTTCTCCCTGTGGGTTTAGTCAACCTCCTGTTTCACCTGGGGGAAAACACCGGGAAGCTGTTTGGTTTAGATCTCTGTAGTTCTGAACGCTGATGGTGATACTGGTGCCGTGTTGCGCAGCAGCACATCGCAAACAAAAGCATTTCAAAGGGGGGGCCTGTATTATATGAGTCATTTTTCCTAAGTGAAGGGTGAGGTTTGGGAATTCAGAGCTTTGTTTGAGGTCACCTGCAGCACCTCTTCATTCCCAAGTGCTCGTATTTTGCCAGTTGGATTAATTCACTTCTTAACGATGCTCCTTATATACTGAAGGGAAAGCAGAGTTGTTAAAACGTTTTATTTTCGCTCTGTTCCGGTAGGCGTTTTTTGCGAGAAACACTGAAAATGTCGAACGCGGAAGACTTGAACCGATTAACGGCGTGTTCTCTCGTGCTCCTGGGTCACATATTCTACGTGTTAGGGAATCACAGGGTAAGGCTTCGCGGGGCCAGTGTCACCGTGTCGATGTTGGACGTGTTTGCCAAAGAAACTCAGGCCACTTTGTGAAATTCATCTTATTTTAAGAGCGCTCGTTTGTTGGTATCCCACTAAAAGCTGGCAGCTTACTGACTTACGTAATTCTGTAGCTGTAATTTGCATGTTTAATAACGCTCTAACAAAGTAGTAGTGTTTGAAGTCTGCTCTAGAAGAGTTTGTTTTTATAATGCCTAAAATCACTTGAAAAAAGGAGCTGAATAAAGGACAAATAACATCATTCAGCTGGATTGTTTTGGAAGGAATTGTGGGTACAAGCTCCTTAATTCTCACCATTATGCCAGAGTGCATGAAATATTTTTATTATCTTGCCCAGCAGAGACACTGTAATTCCTAGGACAGGGTAAAACTCCAGGCAGCTTTAGATGATGTGTTTGGGCTATTGTCCCATTAAGCACTTCCACTTCTTAGCCACAACAGGGCAGCAGTTAAAGTAGACTTTTTTTTTTTTGGTCACAAATCTAACTTCTCCTCGGTGTAATGTGTATTTGTAAGGGGAAAGGAAAAAAAAAAAAAATCAATTTTATGTTGGTATCTGCTCTTCACCAGGAAAGTAATAACATGGTAGTACCAGCCATGCAGCTTGCAAGCAAGATACCAGACATGTCTGTGCAGCTGTGGTCTTCAGCTCTCTTGAGAGGTGAGTTTGGAAAAGGTCTTGTGCTTTCTGCAGCAAAGAGCACGTGGCTGCTGACGGGGGTGGGCTGTGGGGACGTGCGCCAGCGCTCGCCGAGAGGCGAAGCAAAAGGCTGCCTGGGCGTCCAGAGTGTGAGGTGGTTCTTCCAGTTCCTGCTCTGCAGCGCTGGCCCCGCTGTCAGATACTCCAGTTGGGGGTTTTCTTTTTGGGGGAGGTGGGGTGGGACTGCTACGCAGAGCTCCAGCATCCCTGCACCACGGGCGCGAGGCAGCCGTCGGGGTTCTCCCGTTGTGGCTGGACACCAGTTTGATACAAACAGCTGAACTGGTGAGCGTGGTGGCTCCAGTTCCCACCCCTGCAGCACCCATTCCTCTGCTTTGCTTCACCTGCAGTTCCAGTTGTAGTAAACATTTGGTTAGACCGCCTCAGCCGCTGCCACGCTGCGCTGCTCGTCGTTTTTAGCTGAAATTGGGGGGTTCTTGATATGTTACTGGTCTTAAATCCAACCGAGCTATTCCCTGTGAGTAAACCTCACAGGAAAAAGGCTTCAGGGTTGGCTCACTGTGTGCCAAACAGCGGGCATCTGCTGTCCCCAAAAGTGAGGATTCACCAAAGGAATTGCGTTGCTTCGCCTCCGAAACCTGTGTTGCTGAGTCGTGGAGCCGCAGTGGGAATCCGACAGCTCTTCCCTGCTCCCACCAGATGGTGCTGGGAACTGAAAAGACAAAATGCAAACTGCACAGGGGCTTTTACTGGTGTGAGCAGTTTGCTTCCTCCTTCTAGAGCTACTGTAAATGGTATTTTTAATAGTCGGAAACTAAAACAACACCAAATCTTGGAATGTGCGCTCCTAACGCTGTTGGAAAAGGGTCAGCCTCCCCGTACGGCCCTGGAAAGGGGTTTTCACCCAGAAGTGACACGACTTCGATGTACTGGTTGTTGAAATCAATTACTGGAGTCACCAAACACAGGGCTGTGCGGAGCTGGTCAGCTGGAAACACGTGCGGGCAGTTCCTTGGTGAGCGCTCGACGCTTTTGTCTTTCAGACCTGAACAAGGCCTGCGGAAACGCCATGGACGCGCACGAGGCAGCACAGATGCATCAAAACTTCTCCCAGCAGCTCCTCCAGGACCACATCGAAGCGTGCAGTCTTCCAGAACACAACCTCATCACGGTAAGCAACCTCCTCCTGCAGTTCGGAGCGCTTTCGGGGCAAAACGGCGTGCTCTGCTGTCCCTTACTGCTCCTTCCTTCGCTGAGCACGCTTCTCAGCAAGCTGCCCAAATGCAGCCTGCTTCCTAGTGTGTAAACTGGGCTGAAAACAGGCAAAGGAAGTGGGAATCAATTCATTAATTCACTTCTAGAAAGTTGATTTGGTGGGTATGGCCTTTGTTTCTGGTACACCAGGGTTTAGATTTTTTTAAGTGGCTTTGGTACCAGGTCACCACTTCGTTTGGGTGACAACTGTTGCTTTTGAGAGAAATGTAACCATGTTCTCATGTTTAATTGTAATGTTTAGGTCATCCAGCCTGCCGTGTTCTGGGATGCTAGAAGTACACTTTCTATGGGTACTTCAGCATTCCTAAGGTTTGGGTTTTTCTCCCCCTTATCTGGAGTCCCAGTCAATACACCATTTGATGGCTGTACAGCCACTGCCCTAAGGTGCATCTTTATTTGGACTTCAGATACCGAGGCCTTTCCTGTCAGAAACACTTTTAACATTGTTTTAAAAACATAGAATGGTTTCCCGAGCTGCAATTTAGCAAGGGCACAAGATAATTTACTGTTCTGGACTGAAATAGTTTCCCGAGCTGCAATTTAGCACAAGATAATTTACTGTTCTGGACTGAAATAATGTCCAAATGGGAATGTCAGATGTGAGGAACTTGACATCTTTTTCTTTTTGGGGAGAAGAAAGGGGGAGGGGGGAAGCCCAAAAGGAAGATCCTGTTTGCTGGTTTTGCTCACAAAGGGATCCTGAGACTTGTGAGAGTGAAAGTGTTGGTGATGGCTGCCCATGTTGAGACCCCCCCCCCAC